CCAGCGCCGGGACGACGTGTCGGCCGTCTTGCGCGGGTGGGGCTTGACCGTCCATGAGGGGACGGATGCCTCCCCCGACGCCGTGCTGGTGGGCCTGGAGCTCCGGCAAGGCCGCTGGCTGTCCATCAAGCGCCGCAACCTGTGGCGGCTCCGCGCGGCGCTGGATACCGTGCTGCGCCGGGGCTGCTGCTCCAGCAAGATGCTCGAGGTGCTGGTGGGCCACATCGCGTGGGCCTGCTTGATTCGCCGTGAGCTGCTGTGCGTGCTGTGCTCCGTGTGCCCGTACATAGCGGCCGGCCTGCCGACGACCTCGCGGCTGTGGCCCTCCGTGCGCCAGGAGCTGTGGCTCGTCCGCTCGCTGCTCCCGCTCCTACAGAAGGACCTGAGCAGCCCGTGGCGCGACGTGGTCGGAGTGAGCGACGCCTCCGAGTTCGGAGTGGGCGTCGCCGTGCGGCCGGTGCGGCCTGACGCGGCGGCGCAGCACGGCCGCCAGTGCGAGAGGTGGCGTTGCCGAGTGCACGGTGCCGAGAAGGCCCGCGAGAGAGCCCTCCGCCCTCAGCCTCTACCATCCTCCACATACGACACAGCTTCGCTGCCTGCCGGACTGCAAGGCCTGGACGTCTTGGGGCTGGAATCCTTCATCCGGGTGCACCCGAGGGAGTTCATGGAGGTGCCCAAGGAGTTCTTCGACGGGGCTCGCTGGGCTCCTGTTATCGCCTCAAGGGTCGTCGTGCCCGACAACATTCTGGCTCTGGAGGGGGACGCGTGTGTCTTGGGCATCAAGCACATCATGAGGTCCAGGGCCGCTTTCGGGAAGCATATTCTACTGTTCGTCGACAACATGCCGTTGGCCCTGGGTTGTTGTAAAGGGAGGGCCGCATCCGTTCATCTTCGCCGTGCTCTTCGTAAACTGTGTTGCTTGGCGCTGTGTTCAAACTGTACTATTCACATACGCTGGACGTGTAGCGAGTTCAACCCTGCCGATGCTCTCTCTCGTGGGCGTTTAGGCTGGTTCTCAGGGCCTTGCCGACGCGCTGCTGCCGCCCAGCCTGGCTGCTCTCGCGCGGGGCCCCCCGAGTCTGACGGGCCGACACCTGCAGGAGCCGACCTCGATGGCGGGTGCCTCGGCCTCACGCCGCCAGGCGGATCGCCACCGCGGAGCCGCGGCGGCTCGCCAGGGGGCGTCCGAGCGGGGGCCTTCGGGCGGCCTCTCGTTGCTGGAGCGCGCGGCGGTCAGGCCGGGCACGGAGCGCCTGTGCCAGGTATACCTCCGGGCCTTTCTGCAGTTCTGCCTGGTCACGACCATCGACTGGACGACCGGGGTCGAGATGGACGTCGCCCTGGTCACGTACCTGAAGTCGATGTACGTCGAGGGCCGCGCCACGAACGTGGGCTCCGTGCTGCTGGCGGCGCTGGCACACTACACGCCGGCGCTGCAGAAGAGGGCGGCTCTGGCCTCGCCGAGGGCCTCGCGCTGTCTGGCGGGCTGTCGCCGGCGCGCCCCGACCAGGATGCGCCTGCCGCGGCCTCGCCGGGCCGCCTTCGCCATCGTCGGGGCGCTGGCGGCCTGGGGCCTGCCGCGCATGGGGCTCTTCGTGATCGCGGGCTACGGACCCTTGTGGGACTTCCCGCCTACGTCGATTGCTCGGCTCTTCGAGGATGCGTGCCGCGCCCTGGGCTTGAGGCACTTGCAGCCGCCTCTGTACTCTCTGCGTCGCCAGGGCGCCAGCGAGGACCTGCTGTCGGGCGCCAGGACGCCGGATCATGTCATGCGGCGGGGTCGCTGGGCCACAGTGGCCTCGCTCCGCCGCTACAGCAGGGAGACCCGCCTCCTCCGGGAGGCCGCCGAGGTGGACCCCGACGTGCTGCTTTTCGGCGAGATCGTGGAGCGCAGCTTCCTGGACGGGCCGCGGGTCGGCCCCCTGCTGCCGCTGGTGTGGGTCGGGCGCCCCGCGAGCGTTGGCCCCCGCCTGCGGGGAAGGCCCGGGGCCCCCGCCGCCACGCGGCGCCGCCGACCCTGACGGCGTCGCCTCAGGCCGTGCGGCTTCACCTGCAGCGGCGGTGCCGCCGAGGACGTGCTGGCGCGAGCAAGTGGAAGAGCTGCCTGTTTCTGGAGCTGTTTGCAGGACAGGGTCGCATCGCCAAGCGCATCCGCGACCTTGGCTACGGGTGCCTGGACCTGGACCTCGTTCACGGGGCCTGCGAGGATCACCTCCACACCACGTTCGAGTCGGTCGTGCGCGGGTGGCTTCTGAGCAAGGCCATTGTAGGTCTGTGGCTGGGCACTCCCTGTACGTCCTGGTCGCAGGCTCTCAGAGACCCTTTGCGCTCCATTCGTTTCCCCATGGGGAAACCAGGTTTGTCTGGACCTAGGCTGGACCGCCTGCGCGTTGGCAATCGCTCTTTCTACTTTTCTTGCCGGCTCATCCGGCTCTGCATCCAGATCGGCTGCCCTGTCTTTTTGGAGAACCCTCGCGGGTCGCTGCTTTGGCACGCCCCCGAGATGGTCAAGCTTCTTTCGGATTCGTCGTGCACCATTCACAAGATGGACATGTGCCGATTTGGCACACCATTTAAGAAGCCGACGACAGTGGCCGGTTGGAATGCAGGCGTCTTCCCCAGCTTATGTAAGTCTTGCTCTGGCAAGGGTGGCATCTGCTCGTCGACTGGCCTGCCCCGCCTTATCCTCCAAGGCCGAGACAAAGGTGCGCCTGCCCGCCGCACCGAGCTAGCTGCAGCGTACTCGCCTCAGTTCGCCCGCGCTGCCGCCCTTGCCATGACACATTCTGCCAATGCTCTCAGAGAAAAATGGATGATGGATGCCGCCTTCAAAATCGTGTAGTCTCTTTTCGGTAGGTTAGGTTATTTCACGTGCGTAGTTCGTTTTCGGCCACGAATGTGGCCAGGACTGCTCTGCGGGATGCGGGTGGCTCTTTTCAGTGTCTTCGAGGGTGTGCGGCTATCGCCGGGGTCAGCTGACTGTTGTATAGCCTCCGGCCTGCCGTGGCCTCGCCCTCCCGCGCTCGTCCCCATAGTAAATACATCGTCCTGGCATCTGGGTAGTGGAAGTAGCTGATCCTTTTAACAAGTGTATGCTGCGTACCACGGCGAAGTTGCCGCACTTGATGGTCGTCCGTTGCCATCTCGCTCGAGCCCCCCCTCCCGCTCCTCCCTTGCTCTCTCTCGTTTGCACGGATTTCAGGTGGCTCTTTTCAGTGTCTTCGAGGGTGTGCGGCTATCGCCGGGGTCAGCTGACTGTTGTATAGCCTCCGGCCTGCCGTGGCCTCGCCCTCCCGCGCTCGTCCCCTTAGTAAATACATCGTCCTGGCATCTGGGTGGTGGAAGTATATATATATATATATATATGCGTTTGTGTCTACGTACGTATGCATGTATGTATGTGTGCCCGTCTGTCTGTCTGTCTGCGTGCATGTATGTCTGTCTGTCTGTATGTCTGTGTGCATGAGTGTATGCATGCGTGTATTTATGTCTGTATGTCTGTTGGTATTATGTATGCCGAGGCCCTTCCAGAGCGAAGTTCTCCCAAGGAACGAGCAGACTATTCATGAGACGGGGCTTTCCAGGAACCGCTCCCCTGGAGGAGGGAGGGAACAGTCCCAGGAAGGGAATGCAGTAGTGAGTCTCCAGCGAAAGCTCCTGCGGAGTTTTCTGGGAAAGCCATCCTTCGGGAAGACCCCTCCTGCGGTGGGGTTCCAGGAACGGCTTTCCGGAGACACTCCTTGTCGAGGAAGAGGATGTTGAGGAAATCATTTTTTTGGGATTAAGTCGGGCATGTCCCTGTACAGGAGAAATATTCAAAAATAGTTTTTTAAATAGTCAGGGGACGATTTTTCGACTACCTCTTTGTACTTTTCGAGTTTTTTTGTTAAAAATCCGCCTTCAGGGGGACATGCCCGACCTAACCTTTGGAGGAGCCTGGCAAGGACGCCCAGGAGGCCCGGAAGCCCAAGGCCATATTCTGCAGGGGCGTCCAATAGGGCTGGCAAGCTTGGACTTCAGCTCTCGGCGGGGAATATGAACCTGTCCCTCCTCCTCCTCCTCCTCCTTCCCCTCCCTCCTTCTCCACCCCCCCCTCCACCTCGGACAGGTGTGGAGGGGCGCCACCCCGCGGACTGCACCACTCGGAACGAAGGGAAATTCGATCCCGAGGGCGAGGTGTCCGGCCCTCTGGAAGGGTCGTCCCCGACTGGCCCGTCCCAGAATCCCTCCTCGGGAGTGGTTTCCCCTCGTGCTTTTCGGGTCGAAGCGGCACTGCTCAGGAGTTGGAGGGGTAGCGTCGACGCGCACAGGAAGGACGCGCGCCTTTTCTAGGGCGCCCTTGTGTCCTTGCCTCTGCGGCCCGTCCTCTGCCGTTTCCACCGGCCAGCCGCTCAGGGTACACTTGGGGTTTGGTCGCCCGCCGCCCCCAAAAGATCCCAACCCTGGCCTCCAAGGGTCTTGCGTCCTTGCCACCTTTCCTTACTTAGGGGAACGAAGAATGACATAAACATAAAACTCGGAGGTCCGCGCGGGTTTCTCGGATCCGCGCTGGACCCCCCTGGCGGCGCCTCCGGCGCCGCCCCTGGCGCGCTCCGCGCGCCAGGGAGGGGGTCCAGCGCCGATCCGAGCAATCCGCGCGGACCTCTGAGTTTTTATTGTTGATGTTATCGTTCGATCCCCTCTTACTTCTACGTTTTCACTGTCGTCGCGAGCCTCGATCGGGCCGAACGAAAGGGGGGGATAGGGAAAGGGGGGGTTACGAAATCTGCTGTATGCAGCTGGTTTCGGCCCCGCCGCTGGGCCCATCCCTCGATAAATGGGCGCCTCCCGGCGCTGGGAAAATCAGCTACGTGAGCGGATTCTCCACCCTACCCTTCGCTATCCCCCCCTTTCGTTCCCCCCGACTCGAGGGGGCCCTTCCCTCGGGGGATTTCCGGGCTTCGCGCTGCTGGCGCCGCCCGCCCGGCGCCGCCTTCGCCGCCTTCTCGCCGCCGCGAGAGGCGGGCCGTCCCGACGACGCGGAGGCTCTGTACAGGGAGTCGGTGCAGTCGGGCCACTTCCAGCTCTGGAGGGGAGGGGGAGTGGGGAACGAACAATGGCATAAACAGAAACAACGACATATGGACATAACAGCAATGACATGACATAAGCATAGACATAAACACAAACATGACATAAACAACGACATCGGGACATAATCATAAACATAAACAGCGTCATAAGGGGGAGTGGGGAACGAACAATGACATAAACAGTGACAGATCTTCCTGGAGGGGAGGGAGGTGTGAAATAGGGGAACGAACGATGACATAAACGTAAAAACCCAGAGGTCCGCGCGGATTTCTCGGATCGGCGCTGGACCCCCCGTCCCGGGCGCGCGGAGCGCGCCAGGGGCAGGGCAGCGCTGGAGGCGCCGCCAGGGGGGTCCAGCGCGGATCCGAGAAATCCGCGCAGGTCTCAGAGTTTTTATGTTTATGTCATATTTCGTTCCCCTTATGGATGAACCCCACTACAGTCGGCCCGTATCAGAAGGATCCGCGATAAGGATGCAAGGGCCTTGTACGCCCATTTCGAAGCTTTTCGAGCGGGGCGCGGCCGACGAGAGTGGCCAGGGATGGACCGAGGAGGCAGGGGTGCAAGGGTACCCTTGGGAAGGTCGCCTATCCTTGCTATGTGGGTCGAAGGTGCCTTTCGGGGAGCAAACAACGACATACACACAACAACTCGGAGCTCCGCGCAGATTCTTCGGATCGGCGCCAGACGCCCCCCCCAGGCCTTCGCGCGGAACTCCGAGTTTTTATGTTGATGCCATTGTTTGTTTCCCTGTTCCTGTGCCTGCTGCCCCTTTCGGCTCGCATGTACAACTGGTAACACACTCCGACATGTTGGACTTGTGGACAAGGGTAAAGCCTTCATCCTTGTCCATCTTTCGACGCTACCGCCTTAATCAACGGATACTCTGTAGGGGATCGGTCTTTCGGTCAACCCTTCACTCACACAGGAGTAGGGAGGAGGGATCACCGACCCTATCATTTGACAGTGCCTCTAGGTTACCAGGGACGCTGCCAGATGGGGGGCGTCCTTCGCTTCGGGATAGCTCCAGCTCGTGGCCTGTTGCTGGCGGTAGCTGGACAGGGGCATCCCCTGTCTATCAGCCCCGCCTCACTCCGAAAACATACAAGCGGCTTCCCAGAGCAGGGCAGCGCCTTCAGGGGATGAGGAGAAATTGCAACGTCCCAGAGTTGGTGGGTGACCCTCACGTGCACCCAGTGGTACCCTGATTGGTGAAGGCCTTGGCCACCACTGTCTTATTCCACTACGTCGGGGCGCCTACCTAGGCGACGTGCGGGTACCGAGCCTGCCTCGTACCGCGGTCGAGGGACCATCGAAGTGGGGGTGGGTGCTTGCCAACGCCCTGGTCCGAGGCCCTGTACGGCAATTCTGTTTGACACTCTGGCTCGGCCTGGGTTTGTCCGATAGGGTGGACTGGAAGGGGGAAAATCGAAATGGGGGTCATCGAGGGAAGATGGAGAAGGGAGCAGGGTGGAAGAGGAAGGTGGAGGAGGAGGAGGAGGAGGAAGCGGAGGAGGAGGAGGAGGAGGAGGAGAAGGAGGAAGAGCAGTAGGAGGAGGGGAGGAGGAGGTCCACGGCGGCGACGGCGGCGAACTCGACGCTGCCGGCGACAGCGACGACGGCAGCTGGTGACGGCCGCGACGTCGTTGTATTCCCCACCGCGGTGCGGCACGTCTTTCAGTTTCTGCTCCAAGCTTTTTTTCCCGGAAAGGGCCTGGGCCCAGGGTTCTCTTTTAGTAGGTAAACCTGTCCCCCGGTGCCAACTTGAGGGAGGCCGGCGAATTTTTTCCCTGATAAATAACGAGGTCGAAGGAGGCCGGCGAATTAAAATTTGAGGATGTCTCGAGCGAAACGCTTGTTTTTGAAATCCCGATCGATAAATCACAGGGTGCGGGCCACTTTTTCGTGTGTTGAGGATGTCTCGAGCGAAACGCTTGCTCCGCAGAGTTTGCCGAGGATGTCTCGAGCGAAACGCTTGTTTTGCAGAGCCGACCGCGACGCGGAAAAGCGCCCCGCGCGAAGGAATTTCGATGATGTCTCGACTAATTCCTTTGTTTTTGTACGATTTCCTGGAATTTTGGCAGGATGTCTCGAGCGAAATGCACGACCCCACCCTAGCACGACCATACCCCAGCACGACCACACCCCAGCACGACCAGACCCCAGCACGACCCCACCCCAGCACGACCCCACCCCAGCACGACCATACCCCAGCACGACCACACCCCAGCACGACCCGACCCCAGCACGACCCTACCCCAGCAAGACCACACCCCAGCACGACCACACCCCAGCACGACCTCACCACAGCACGACCACACCCCAGCACGACCACGCCCCAGCACGACCACGCCCCAGCACGACCACGCCCCAGCACGACCACGCCCCAGCACGACCACCCCCCAGCACGACCACCCCCCAGCACGACCACCCCCCAGCACGACCACACCCCAGCACGACCACACCCCAGCACGACCACCCCAGCACGACCACACCCAGCACCCCCCCCAGCACGACCCACCCCAGCACGACCACGCCCCAGCACGACCACACCCCAGCACGACCACACCCCAGCACGACCACACCCCAGCACGACCCCACCCCAGCACGACCCCACCCTAGCACGACCACACCCCAGCACGACCACACCCCAGCACGACCACACCCCAGCACGACCCCACCCCAGCACGACCCCACCACAGCACGACCACCCCCAGCACGACCACACCCCAGCACGACCACACCCCAGCACGACCCCACCCCAGCAAGACCACACCCCAGCACGACCACACCCCAGCACGACCTCACCACAGCACGACCCCACCCCAGCACGACCACGCCCCAGCACGACCACGCCCCAGCACGACCACGCCCCAGCACGACCACCCCCCAGCACGACCACCCCCCAAGCACGACCACACCCCCAGCACGACCACCCCCCAGCACGACCACACCCCAGCACGACCACACCCCAACACGACCATACTCCAGCACGACCACACCCCAGCACGACCACACCCAGTCGCACCCCCGTGGAATGTTTCGTGGGGTGTCTGGTTGAGTGGTTGCCTGTTCGTGGGGTGTCTCGTGGAATGTTTCACGGGGTGTCTCGTGGAATGTTTCGTGAGGTGTCTCGTGGGTTGTTTCGTGAGGTGTCTCCTGGGATGTTTCGCGGGGTGTCTCGTGGGATGTTTCGTGAGGTGTCGCCCAGTTGGATATCGTGAAAACGTGACCATGCTGCACATGTCTATATCCCTTTCCGGGTTCGTGGGTCCATCATGTTCAGCGGGCGAAGGACGGTATCAAATCAACTTTTCCGCCGTCGGGGACGCCTGGCCCTGGGCGGCTGGAAAGTTTATACCATCCAGTGCCACCATAAGGGTATAAACTCTCCAGCCGCCCTAGGACAGGCGCCCCCGACAGTGAAACAGTTTATTCCCGGAAAGGGCATGGGCCCAGGGTTCTCTTTTAGTAGGTAAACCTGTCCCCCGGTGCCAACTTGAGGGAGGCCGGCGAATTTTTTCCCTGATAAATAACGAGGTCGAAGGAGGCCGGCGAATTAAAATTTGAGGATGTCTCGAGCGAAACGCTTGTTTTTGAAATCCCGATCGATAAATCACAGGGTGCGGGCCACTTTTTCGTGTGTTGAGGATGTCTCGAGCGAAACGCTTGCTCCGCAGAGTTTGCCGAGGATGTCTCGAGCGAAACGCTTGTTTTGCAGAGCCGACCGCGACGCGGAAAAGCGCCCCGCGCGAAGGAATTTCGATGATGTCTCGACTAATTCGTTTGTTTTTGTACGATTTCCTGGAATTTTGGCAGGATGTCTCGAGCGAAATGCACGACCCCACCCTAGCACGACCATACCCCAGCACGACCACACCCCAGCACGACCAGACCCCAGCACGACCCCACCCCAGCACGACCCCACCCCAGCACGACCATACCCCAGCACGACCACACCCCAGCACGACCCCAGCACCGCACGACCCACACCCCAGCCTACCACACCCCACCCAGCACGACCACACCCCAGCACGACACGCACCCAGCACGACCACGCCCCAGCACGACCCCCCCCAGCACGACCACCCCCCAGCACGACCACCCCCCAGCACGACCACGCCCCAGCACGACCACACCCCAGCACGACCACCCCCCACGACCACTCCCCAGCACGACCACACCCCAGCACGACCACACCCCAGCACGACCACACACCCCAGCACGACCACACCCAGCACGACCCCACCCCAGCACGACCACGCCCCAGCACGACCCCACGCCCACAGCACGACCACACCCCAGCACGACCTCACCACAGCACGACCACACCCCAGCACGACCACGCCCCAGCACGACCACGCCCCAGCACGACCACGCCCCAGCACAACCACCCCCCAGCACGACCACCCCCCCAGCACGACCACGCCCCAGCACGACCACACCCCAGCACGACCACACCCCAGCACGACCACTCCCCAGCACGACCACACCGCCTTGGTTGAGTGGTTGCCTGTCGTCGTGGAATGTTTCGTGGGGTGTCTCGTGGAATGTTTCGCGGGGTGTCTCCTGGAATGTTTCGTGAGGTGTCTCGCGGAATGTTTCGTGAGGTGTCTCGTGGGATGTTTCGTGAGGTGTCTCGTGGGATGTTTCGTGAGGTGTTGCCCCGTTGGGTATCGTGAAAACGTGCCCATGCTCCACATGTCTATATCCCTTTCCGGGTTCGTGGGTCCATCATGTTTTTGATTCCGTTCTTCGCCCGTTAGTTTGTGCCTGATTCGCGCTGGCGGCCTGTCATCCAGGCGCCCACCGTCCACGCCGGACGCTCCCTGCCTGCTCGATTCGTAGTGGGCGGCCCTCAGCACGTCAGAGTTGGGGGCAGCCGCGATCGCGCATGCCATGCGGCACGCTTTGGGCGACTTATTGTGGTGCTCATGTGCGGGCAGAAGTTGCAAACTCGGCATGGCGTCAACATAATGAGCGGACGAAGGACGC